GTTGTGCTTGAGGAGGAATTCGAGGTGCTTGGAGCCGCTGAAGGCCTTCCAGTGACTCCATGCTCGGTAGAGGACGTAGAAGAAGGGCAGGTTGGGAATGACGGGGACGAGCATGAAGGGCGCGGTGAAGGGCATGATGACGACGCTCCAGATCAGTTTGGTCCGGTGCATGTTCTGCCTCTCTTTTGCCAGCTTCTCCAGCAGCCCCGACACTCTCTCTTGCGGCAGGTACTTTCCAGGGAACAGGACCTCATATTTTGCCTTGCCGTCTACAATGTCCTGTCTCCGCTTCGCCGTGAGGGCGGGTATGGTCTTGAGCCCCCATTCCTCGTAGGGTATGCGCTTCAGGGCGTGGTTGCCGTAGAAGGTGACTTTCTTCTTCCAGTCCCAGATGGCCTTTTCGTCTTTCTCCCAGGCGACCCACGTCTCATTGGCCTTTATGGTGATCTTGTCATAGTAGGAGCGGTCCTTGGGGGCCTTTTCGTGCAGCTTCTCGCAGTAGATGAGGGAGCGACGCGTGGATATGGGCAGCAGGAAGAGACGCATCGTGGGGTCGTAGGAGGAGGACCGTGGGGTCGTGGGGCAGAGGGCCTTGGTGGTTAGGTAAGCGCAATGCTGCGCGTATTTAATCGCGATTTAACAAACTCTCGCGGCAGGTGTGCGAGACATGACGCAGGTCGAGTCGCGTAGAGACCAAGGCACCGAAATCGCTAGCTGGGTGTCGTGTCGTCGGAATTTGACGACGGGCTACTGCGGACCCATGACCTCACCCCAGGCTGTTTTCCTGGCTAAGCATGCTGCCAGCGCGCAATCCCTGTTTCCCTGATCGACGAACAAGCAATCTCCCCTACGACGCCAACACGCGCACGCACCCAACACTCCACCACCCCCAGGCGCACCACCAAACTCTAACCATCTCGTCGTTCGCTGTTTCCTTGTCTTGTTTACCCGCACTGTTGCACTGCGCCCCGTCACTTCCTAAGCCGGACATGGTGTCGTTGCGACTTGTCTACTTTGCTCCCACGTAATCTCCCCCGGTGCTGATTCACTGCCAAGCCCTCAAAGCTTGCTGCGTGCAGGCAGGCGCGACACACCGGCTGGTGCTTGGTGGTGCGACGAGGAAGCCCCTCACATCTCCCCAGAGAATGACCAGCACGCCCATGGTTGAGCCCCGAAAGAGCGACCCGGGCCATGGTACCACCAGCAGCAGCAATGGGCACCTCCGCCCCGACGCCGCCGCCCAGGGGAGCAGCCAGACCTCGCAGGCCTCGACGCTGAACTCGTCCCACTCCAACGGCCACCGCCTGCTGCCCTCGCCCATTCCGCCCCCGACCGCCTCGTCCCTCACCTCGACCCAGCGCCCCCAGTCGCGAGTCAGCGCCGTCTCCGGCAACTCCAAGGACAGTCACGACGGCCTGCCCCCCGTCCGCAAGAGCCACTCGCAGTCGATATCCAGCACTCCTCGCACGCTGGCGTCCTCTAATCGGAGCATAACCGCGAGCGCGGAGAACAGGGAGAGGCAGCGTGCCGTCCGCTCACTACCGCCCTGGGTCCAGTCCGCCGACGACGAAGACGAGAATGTCGACGCCTCCTCACTCCTCCTACCACGCACGCCCACCAACGTCCGCCATGCCAACCACAACTTCTGCCCGACGCCCAAGTCCAGCGTGCCAGGCCGCAAGTTCGACCATGCTCGCGAGGGCGCCCCCGTGACCCTCTCGACGCCCGTCAGTGACAGCGCACCCAAGTGGAAGCAGTTCACCCAGGCCTCCAACCACGACCGCCCCATCTCCTCGCGCGGCCAGATCGTCGACGATGACTGGCTCAAGGAGAACATGCCCGATCTCGAGCAGAAGTGGGAGCCCATCGACAACGGCCTCGGCGACGAGCACATCAAGGGCTTCTGGCTCTTCACCTCGGAGAAGAGGAAGCGCCGCCTGATGCGCTTCCACAACACCATCATGAACCACCCCATGGTTCCCGCCTTGGTCCGCGCCATTGTCCTCGTCTTCTCCATCCTCGCCCTCTCCCTCGCCTGCTCCATCTACCGCCACTCGGACAACAACGGCTGCAGCAACAACTCGTCTACCTGGATGGCCATACTCGTCGACATCGTAGCCGTCCTATACACCATCTACATCACCTACGACGAATACACATCTAAGCCCCTCGGCCTACGCTCGCCCAATGCCAAAATGTCGCTGATTTTCCTCGATCTGGCCTTTATCGTCTTCGAGTCGGCGAACCTTAGTTTGGCTTTCCAGGCCCTGACGGATGACAAATGGGCATGCGTTGAATCAGACCGGACAAATGCGTGTCCGTATCGGCAGAGCATTTGTGAGAGGCAAAAGGGCTTGACAGCGACACTTTTGATTGCGCTGCTTGCATGGATTGCCACTTTCTCCATCAGCACTCTGAGGTAAGTCTTCCTCGACGACGACATGACCGTGTTCTTTACTAACCCACCACAGGTTGATCCACCGTGTAGCGAGGTAGTGCCTCAAACACCTCATACATTCTCCCACACTCCCTCGGCCCTTCCACCACGCCACCTATATCCCCACACTACGTTCCGACCCTTCAGCTTGACTGATCCACCTTTTGCATAGTACCAAGGAGCACGACCACCTCTTACACATGTCGGCCTTTTCCCCCCGGCGGCGATACCCTCTCCATTCGCACTCTCTCCGTTTTCCTAGTCGACTCCGTTCTCGCACCCCCTCCGTTCGGTCCTTTTACTCTTGAAAGCTATGCATAGCTGCGGCGTTTTGGGTCTCCTTGTCCTTGCATTTTCCCTCAATCGACGATTTCCCCAAACCAGTTGTTCTTCTCTTTTTTTTTCTTATACACTTTGGGGCTTTCTTCGTGTGTCACTTTTACGTTGACTGGGTGTACATAGGGTGTTGTTTTGAGGACTTGGGACGGCCTAGAGGCAATAGCATAGTACAGAGTGATTAGTATAATCCACAAAATCAATGAAACAGGTCAAACACTCATCCCATGAAGAATGTATGTTCCCCACCAGATCGTAGTCCCCATATTCCCAACGCTACTTCTTTCTTCACGACGATGGATGCATGAATACAATGCCAGTCCAAGCAAGATGCACGAAATGTCCAGAACCGAGTCGACCAACCCCGTCCATTCGCCCATAACTCCACTTCACGGCACCTCACATACAGCTAAATCCCCCATCAACCGGCAGCCCAATCCCAGTAACCCACGCCGCATCCTCACTAGCCAAGAAGACCGCCGCCCTCGCAATATCCTGCGGCGTACCCAGCCCGCCAAACGGATGTCTCGTCTCGACCTCTTTCTTCGAATCTGCGGCTTCGGGTGTAAGTAGCGAGGAGATGAAGGCCGTAGCTGTATAACCCGGACAGAGTGCGTTGACATGGATACGGTAGGGCGCGCAGTCCAACGCAGCAGCCTTTGTGAGACCCATGACGGCGTGTTTGGAGGCCGCGTAGCCCGCTAGTAGAATGTCAGTTTTCCAATTTCTCAAAGACTCAACATCGCGTGTTCAACAAGAACGAAAATAGAACGAAAGAACTTACAAATCCCCGACGTCCCCCTCAACCCATAAACACTACTCAAATTAACAATCCAGCCTCTATCCCCCCTCTCCCCCGGTTCCTGCCCCACCATCTGCCTACTCGCATACTTCGTGCCCAAGAAAACACCCTTGATATTAACATCGACCGTCCGCTCAAAAGCCGCTTCTTCGTATTCCCACACCGGCCGACTGCCATGCTCACCCGTCTCCACGCTAATACCCGCGTTGTTAACCATAATGTCGATTCTGCCGTACTCTTGCACTGCGGTCTGGATCAGGGCTTGGATGTCGGTCGAGGAGGTGGTGTCGCATTTTACGAAGAGGGCTTTTGCGCCGAGGGCGTGGGCGGCGGCGACGGTGGTGCTGCTGGGGGAGGTGTCTGTGGCGTATTCTGAACGCGGCGTTTCGGTGATGTCGGAGCAGATTAGGGAGGCGCCTTCTGAGGCGAAGGCTAGGGCTGTGGCGCGGCCGATGCCTGAGGAGGAGCCGGTTATTACGGCGATTTTGTTTTGTAGGCGGGGTGGCATCGTGGGGAGTGTAGTGGTGGATTTGTTTGAGGTTGGGGTGAGGGTAGTGGGTGACGACAGTTTTGGTTATCTGTGTTGGCTGTGGGACAGCCGGTGTATTGTAGGAAGAGGAAGAGACTTGAAGTGGAAACGAAGAAGAAGAGAAAGAAGAATAATGACAAGTAGAAGTAAAGTCGAAGTGATAGTAAGACAAGTACATATACTAGACTGCCCAAGTCACCATCAAGCGAACGGGCGTATCTAGTGAGGGGTTAACTAATGCGGAGAAAGTACATCCTCGGCCATTGAATAAGATCAGGCAGACAAGCTGCTCGCAATCCCTTCACGGGTGGGTCTCGATGGCATTTGATTGAGGTGAGACACCTGATTCAGCCTCGATCGTAGTCCAGGGCGTAAAGTGACAGCTCAATACATTTCGCGTCTAAGTCGCGTACGAGGTAGCGCGGAATGTGGCGTTTGCTATTGGGCTGACAGCTCCATGTAAAAAGTGGATTCTCGTCTGCCTGATGGACCCAGGAAGACGGCTCTTTGTACTATGCATGTGCGCATGCGCATGTATCCGTAAGTAGCAAATGGTATGAGGTTGGCTCTTCCGAGGTTTCGCCAGTACTGGTAGTTGCCGAGGTCCTAGACTGGGGTAGGCAAGCTGAATACGACTCAGGACAGGTCAGAGGACTAGATTAAGTGCTGTAAGGGATCATACTAGCGGGTTATATGGCATTGTAGAGCTGTCGGAAGCTGGCATGCAGCAATTGATGGTGGGGTCGTGGGGTAATCCGGAAAGCGCGTTGCCCGACAGGGATCACCCGAGTAGCCTCACATGCACGTCATAATGTAGATTTGCTTCATGCGACGACACAGAGTATTCCAATTCTCTACACATTTTGATCCAGAAGTTCTTCTGTCATCGACACAAGATGTCAACACAATCCAACAAGGACGAGCCCTTCCCATGGCACCTCGGAGTCTACGACGCACACTGCCACCCCACAGACACCATGTCGAGCATCGAAACCATCCAAAACATGAAAGCGCGCATCCTCACCGTAATGGCAACCAGAGCGGAAGACCAAGAACTCGTCTTAGCCACCGCAAATAAGCACAGCATCCGATCGGCCAACCCATCCCAATGGACAAAAGAAGAATGCATCGTCCCCTGCTTCGGCTGGCATCCTTGGTTCTCGTATCAAATGTACATCCCCGAGCCCGACTCCAAAGGCGAAGATGAACAACAAGACCAAGGTCCCCTAACCGGCCAAGCAAAAATCTCCCACTACCAATCCGTCCTACAACCCCACCGCGCAGACCCCAGCCCAGAAGACCTCCAAACCTACGCCTCCCTCCCCGACCCAACACCCTTCTCCTCCTTCCTCGCCCTCACACGCCAACACCTCCTCCAGCACCCCTTCGCGCTAATCGGCGAAATCGGACTCGACCGCTCCTTCCGCATCCCAGAGTCCTGGACCGGCAACCCCGATCTGTGGGCAAAGCGCAACAGTAATCTCACGCCTGGAGGCCGCGAAGGAAGGCGGCTGACGCCTTTCCGCTGTAGTCCTGCGCACCAGAAGGTTGTTTTTAGAAAACAGCTTGATCTTGCGGCGGAGATGGGCAGGGCGGTTAGTGTGCATGGGGTGCAGGCTCATGGGCTGGTGTTGGAGGTGCTGGCTGAGACGTGGAGGGGGTGCGAGAGGCTGGTTTTGAGTAAGAGGGAGAGGAAGAAGAGGGGGAGGGATCATCCGGGTGCGGAGGCGGCGCTGGAGGCTGATGAGGTGGGTGATGGCGATGATGGTGCTGCTGCTGCAAAAGACGACAGCCCAAAACCGTACCCGCCGCGCATATGTCTACATTCATATTCTGGTTCGCCCTCAAATTTTGCGCAGTATCTGCGCCCTGAGATTCCTTGTAAGATCTTTGCTTCGTTTAGTACGGCGATTAACCTGTCGGATGTACTCGACGAGGAGGAAACGCCGCAGGCTTTTCAGGATATTATTAAGATGGTACCGGATGATATGTTGTTGGTGGAGAGTGATTTGCATACTGCGGGGGATGAGATGGATAGGAGGTTGGAAGATATCATACGGAGAATATGTGGGATCAAAGGATGGGGGTTGGAGGAGGGTGTGAAGAGGCTGGGGAGCAATTGGAAGGCCTTTGTTTTCGGTGAGGGCTGATGTGCTTCAATACATTTTTGAAGGTCGCGGAAATTTTCATATGGAGGCCAGGAGGTATTCGATGAGATCTGCGGTCGCGCAGAGTGAGGTCAAGAGGTATTGAAATACACCTGGCCTGTATATCAGGGTTGTGTACAAACTGCCTTGATGTGATGTAGGCATCATAAATCACTCAGATTTCAGATATTTTGGGCAAATTTCATCGTATTATGCCATCCTGACCAGCTATCAGGTAGATGCAGCAGTCATGTCCGTGTCATCTCAAACCATCTCAAACCATTACACCCCAGTTACCAGTAGTACCCATATCCGTCTCAAATCAGTCCAACTCCTTATGCATCTCGAAGACCTGAGCCTGAGTGCCAGACAACGCCATGGCAGCGAACAGATCCTCCTCGAAACCCGCCTGGGGGCCAGCATCGTCCTCCTCCATCTCTTCACCGTACTCGTCTATCCACATCGTGACACGCTTGTGTACCTCGTCGTACTTCCAACCACCATAGTATATCTCGTTGACTGGAGTCCATGGATGGTACGACGACATCTTCGACAACGCCTCCGGGCCGGCCCAACCAGGGATGTGCTCGCCGGGGTACAGCTTGCGAACCTGAATCGTCTTCAAGTTGGGCAGCTTGGCGAGTACAAGGCCTGTTCAGAATTTAGCTGTATTGCTCTTGCGTAGTCCGGGTACACTTTGTAGCATTTTAGACGGGGAGAGACTTACTGAGCATGGTACGGTATGCACCAGTGTGACAGAATGACTCGTTGGCCCGGCTCCAGTGTTTGTGCTCATCGTTGGCGAACTCCAAGATCTCTTCATCCTCATACAACTGGTCTTCGGTTGGCTCTGGCATGCCGGGGAACTTGAGAATGTGGAGATTTTCCCAAGCGTAGTTGTAGCCGAGCTCCGGGGTTGTCGGTCCCTCGCCAACCAAGGTGATTGTTCGAACCGTCCCAGGATACGCACCATCCAACCCAAGCCCAACCAAGAACGCTGAAACGCTTGCAAACGTAGGAAAGATAACGATGTTCTCAGTAACAAAAATCTTCTTACCGTATGGGAATGCCACAGCCTCCTTCATGCGCTTGTTGACAAGACGCATCTCGTTGAGGTCCGTGACGCTGAGATGAATACCGATCTCGCCAAACACCTCAAAGGGGAGGCTCAAGACACCCTAAATTCGTGGTGAATTCATATTCATCGGAAAAACGAGGGAGGATACGAATGGATGAACGAGAAAAGAGAAATGAAGATGGTAGGAGAAGGAAAAGAAGATGAAGAAAGAACTGATGAACTTACTTCGGTGGCGGTGGTAGCGGCAGCGTCAGCGGTATTGGCGGCCTTTTCATTATTAGAGGGGAGCAACATGGTAGCAAGCCAAGTGCAAGGGTTGATGCCGAGATCTGTACATGTCAGCATACGTCGGGGGCATCTGAGATGTAAGAGATCTGACGATCAATGGACAATCCGTGCTTCTTGAGTTCCTCCCCGAAACTCTCAACGAAAGCTGAAGCTGTTAGCATAACCTGAAACTGTTGAATTTGGCTTGGACTTACCTTTGAGTTGGCTAGTGAAGAGCGCTGCTGCGGCCTCTTTGGCCTTCCTAGCGATGATGGCTTCGACTCGGGCGGCCTGCGCAGCTTTACCGGCGTCGAGTTGTGCGTTGTGCGCAACTCTAGCAGTATCGGCAATGGCTTTGACGGCTAATGCCAGGGCACCAATTTCGAAAGCAGATGCAGCAGCATTAGGGAGGTTAGGATCCTGAGTGCTGGGAATCTGGACTGTCGACGCTACGTCGTTGTTCTCGGAGGCGGATGGCGCATCGCCCCCGAACAGAGAGGTTGTTGTGCCGGACATCGTAAGGTCAAGTATCTCAAAGTATGGGTAGAAGCAAGGAAGATGGAAGCTGTCAAAGGCAAAGCTTTGATCAAAGTAGACGAAATGTCAACTCAAGAGTGGGGTGGGGTGAGGAGGTAGAGGGAGACGCGGGGAGCAAGCCTTTATATAGCAGAGATTTAAGCAGCTTAAGCTCGGGCCCAAGGCGCGTCTCGCGTGCTCCAGGCAGCTTTGTTGACAACGGTGAACGTGAGAGGCGTTTATCAAAACAAGAGACGCGTGGTGAGGAGCGGGAGCGCGGGCGGTGAACACAGTCCAGAGGCCGAATCGGGGTTCACCGGGAGCGAGAGGACGGGTATGTTGGCAAGCGAGAACATCAAAAGTGTCGCAGAACGTATCGGTAGCTGTTTACGTTTGGATGCGATGCCGGCGTTGCCCAAACACCCGGCGGCGTTGCCATGGTTTTGGAGGGAAGTGAGATGGTGAGTAGTATGAATGCTTGTGCCAATTGCGACACGACTGTGGCAGGAAAAGGTTGCATCGAGTACTGCACTTGCACTTGAGTGCATCGCGATCTTGCTTCGTAGCCGCCATGGCCTGGATGGTCGAAGTGGCCACCGAAGCCGGAGCAAGAACAAACGCACACACCGCATGTCCTCAATGAGCATCCTCAGTATGCAAGCCAGTGATACGGCGCACATGAGTAGAACGCTTGGACATGGACAGTCAAGTGGATTAGTCTAATTCGCCAGGCCTGGCCACATCCTGCTGGTATGGAACAATCTCCGCTCCGGAGCCTGCAAAGCACAACACTCCATGAAGAAAGACGGGAGAAAAGGAAGACGCAATGCAAGGTAACTAGGATGCGATAAGAATGAAATGAGAAGAATGCACCTACCTTTAAGGACCGCCATACTGTATCAAACTGCATGTTAGTCTTCAGTACAACTTCCGTGCCCGAAAGATCAATAGCATTATAAGTTCTTGTTCGAGTAAGACGAGCATGGCTAAGCGACTGACGAGACAAGAGAGAGGATTTGGCAATATCATGAGGGGCGATTACTATCGCAGCGACAGATTCGAAGTTGGAGGAGAAGGAAGAGTGGTGACAATCGGACGTCTGACGAGGCACGAGATGGCCAAGACGCTAATGACTAAACTGCCCTTCTCCACCAACAATGAGCACGTACGATAGATACACGGCTAATGCATCTGCTTTCTTACACATTAGATGCCTATGGATATAGTGAACGATGTAAACAGAGTCTCAAGATCCAAGGACTAGCCAATCCGTTCAGATACACACCAGAACAAGCGAGATACCATATATTTACTTCGCCGAAACGAACGCTATAGATCGCTGCATCAAATTGCCGCTCTTATAACTGTGCAAACACTAGTATCACCTGTGCCTTAGTCGTTACTCTTTCATTCCTTCCCAACACCCTCCTTACCGTTCTCTGCGTCTGCATCAAAGAACAAGCTTCTCCTCTTGACATCCGGCGGCGGCGGACTAGCCGGGGTATCACCAACAACCGCCTCCTTGTCTCTCTTGAAGTCTTCCGCTCTCTTGAGATCACCCGGCGGAGGCGAAGATACGGGTGTCTTTGTGCCCCATCCCTTCCTCTTCTCGCTCGCCCAGGTGCCCCAGCTGGAGAAGTATGCGCCCGCGCTGGCTTTTGCGTTCGTGAGGTCGGGGGCTTGAGGTGCTTTCCCTATTTGGTCATTAGCATTGGTGTGCGTGCAAAGCGAGTTGTCTTACTTACACTTCTTTGCATCATCGATGGGCCTCCCTTCTTTCTCAGCCTGTAGTCGCGCTTCCTCGGCTCTCTTCCTCTGTGCCTCGCGCATGCCTTCCATCTCCGCCCACAGGCGGTTGTATGCAGAGCTGACCTTCTGTTGGCCCACTGCAAGCTGTTTTCCCAAGACCTCCCGAGACTTTTCTAATCGTTCGTCGAGATGCATTTCTGCTACCTGCCTAATCGCCAAGCGAGCATCAGCACACATACGCCAAGAGATACGGCTTGGAAGGTTGTGTTGGAGAACAGACTAAGTGAGTGCTTTAGTCGGGCTGGTGGGGATATGGAAAGAATGCAGAAACGTACTGTGCTAGTCGGCGTTGAACGTCTTCCATTGAGAGACCGCCAGAGCAGGGGTGTTTGGGATCAACGATGTCGAAAAGGTGAGAATCGGTAAACTTATTCCAGATGCGGAAGTTCTCAGTCTGCATCCAGGCGTGTACCCACTCATTTGAGAACTCGCTCGCTGGGTCTCCTTCTACTTCAGAAATCAAGTTCTCCTTGTGTGCGTTCTTTTCCATGTAAAGCTTGTACTTGACGGAGCTGAGCATTGCGAGCAGGTACTCTTCGAATTGCATGCGAATGAACTCCTCGCTGCCGGCGTATCCGTGATCCTTGGGCCGCGCTGGATCTGCCTCATCCCAGGTATCGTTGATCGTCTGTGTCAAGAAGTCCATCCATCTCCGGTCCGGCGTCGACAAGATCGATGCTTGTCGGAGTGCAGCTGAGGTGATGTTTACGGTGTGGTCATCGAGGTTGATGAGGATATCGCTGTATCGATCTCTTTGCTGAAGCAGCAGCGAGTTCGTAGAGCCGACGATGTAGGACTTGGTATCTTGGTCTGCAAGTATATCAAGCTGCTGAAGCGGTGTGTATGGTCCAAACAGCGAGCCTGTACCGAAGAGTTGGAGCGGGAGACCCATGTATGCCAACACTGAATCTTGTCAGTATATTGCTTCTATTGGTGAGAACATGCACTGACAGGAAGCGCGCTCCGATGTCTTTAATGAAGTGGGCATGACACACTTTTCCTCACACGAATTGAACTTAGGGTCAGCAGCATCTTGTAGGTGGCGAATAAGGCCGGGTATCAGTGAAATAAGAGCAAATTGCATCATGCATAATCGTTCGCAATGGGAGCCGAAGAAGAGGACCTGCATTTCGTCAGTAACCTTGTATGCTCGTGCCACACTATGTCGGCTTCAAGAGGTTGAAACATACCTTCGGTTGAAGTAGCGCGCATTTGAAAAGAACCAAAGTCTGCCATTTGAACTCGTGGATTAACTCGCGCAGAGAAATACCGAAGTAATGGTCCTGCTGCCCCTCCTGATTCTTAAGCAGTTGGGGTAGACTTTCCGTAAAGCGCTCCAATATCTCGATATCGGTGAAGTCTCTGAAGAATTGTGAGTTCCACGTCATCCTCGACTTGCACTATGAGAGCCTGACGTACTTCTGATTGAACCACAGCTGGGTGACAACGCCCAGCTGCGCTTTTATGGCCCCAAAGTGCTGTGGGCTATCGCTGATGACAACGACAGCCTTTTGCACCGTACTCCTTGTAACTTCAGCCGGCCGATCGATAAGCTTGCTTGCGTCGAGCTGTCGCGTACACGATATTCCGAAGAGTGAGGTAGCGGGTGAGGTCGGGGTCTGAGCGCGGCGGAGCGTAAAGTACGAGTAGTCTTCGGCAGAGGCATGCGCGCCATCGCTCAGGGCCATGAAGGGCAGCAGCGACCAGTCGTTGTCTACTGCTGGGTCGGTTCCCTCTTCTGCCCCGAGCCATGTTTCCACTTCTGGGCCTCTGCGTTGAATAGTCAGCGATTCATTCGCATCAGATAGCCACAAAGGTATCGTAAGTTGCCCAGTATCCTTCCTCCGTCTCTTTCTGTACTCACACCTCTACTGGTAAAGGAGAAGCTTACCGCGCATGGTGGAAGTCCACGACGCAGACAAGTGGGTTGAGAGTCGCCATTGTCGTGCGATAGAAGTGCTATCGCATAGCATTCAGTTTAAATACAAACAAATGTTGTAGGGCCATAGGGGCCAGGCTCGCGTCCTCGAGTCGTTGCGGACGCGCTCAGAGCGGTGACGAAACAGCGGTCCCTCAATCAGCCTTATGGCGCTAGTGGAAAGCCTCGGCGATCTCCACCCGTTCCCGGGTTTGGGAGTACGCCCGAGATCCTCCGCCACGGATACCAGAGAAGATCTGGAGGACTTTCTGATCTCCCCTTTACATCATGCAGTCTTTATCTTGAGTACCTGCGATGCCAGGCCCGTTAGCGACGAATGCTGTCATCGCATTGAAATACAATATAATCAGACATGTTCATGAGTCAAAGTGAAGAATAACGTATGTTTGATAATATGATTTCACATTCCTACCTAGGTCGACCATAGCCTTCAATTCCTCCATAACATTCCTTTCGTGTACCAGCCATGGCGATCCAAATGACAAAGACAAGCCCATGCCCCATCTACCGCGCACCTTCATGTCACATAGGTCCAACAGACGAGACCTTGGGAATCATTGGGAACAGCAACTCCGCCTGCGCCAGGCAGATGATACGTCGAGCCTCGGCAACTGCATACTTTGTTGTCGTGGAGACTGAAAATTGTTGTAGCTCGAGATTGGTAGACATTATGTGTATTTAGCTGCCGTTGTTCTCCTCCTGTGCCGCCGCATCTACGTTGTGGTAGTCCAGGATTTCAGAGTACCTGTGTTGTGTTAGCTCCGTTTACGTGATGCACTGGGAGTACACGTACATCATGATTTTCCAGGTGTCGACGGGTAGATCTGCGTCGTTGAACGACCAGTCGAACTTCTCCTCCGCGACTGGCTCATCAGTCGGGTCGTGGTATGGAGCGAGGTATGGGTGGGCAAGGGCCTGCTCCGCTCGCACACGCTTCTTCGGGTCAAAGACCAACATGTTCTCTAGGAGATCGACGGCTAGATAATGTCAGTCCACGCTCTCTTCATTGAAGCTGCAAACTGACCTTGAGGCTCGGCGTTCTTGAACTTGTTGGAGAGGGGTTGTCGTTCGCGCTTGGGAAGTGACTGGACGAATCGCAGTGTCTGCGGAAATCAGCAAAGTTGCTTCCAAGGTTTTGTGCATCTACTTACGTTTTCACTGCAAATGGTCTGGATCACATCGTCTGGGGGAGTACCCAGAAGCTCGGTGATGATGGAGAACTGGTTCACGTGGTCCTTGCCGGGGAAGAGCGGCTTGCCCTCGAGCATCTCAGCGAAGATGCAGCCCGCACTCCAGATATCAACCTCGACGTCGTACTTTTGCCATGTGAGCATGATCTCAGGCGCTCGGTAGTATCGGGTAGAGACGTAACCCGTCATCTGAGGGTCCTGTATACGGGCGAGACCGAAGTCGCAAATCTTGAGATCGCAGTTCTCGTTGACGAGGATGTTGCTGGGCTTCAAGTCGCGGTGCACGACACCAGCGGAGTGGACGTATTTCAGACCACGCTTTTCAGGTCAGCGCATTTTCTTGCATGGTTGGAATTTTGCCACCCACCAAAATCTGGTACAGGAAGTATTGGATGAACTGCTTCTCCAGCGGTCTGGAGGTGAGCAGGCGGTGGAGATCGGTTCCGAGGAGCTCGGTGACGAAGTAGCTGGGCAGATTAGTGCTTGCTCGGGTTGGCGGTGATGTGACTGCCTACATATCCTCGAGGGGAGAGATGAAGATGTCGCTCAGGCTGATGATCTGGAGAGTGTTAGAGTTTTCGCTGGGGACTGGCTGCTGCATTGCCCACATTCTCGTGTCGAAGATGCTTCAGAAGCTTCAGCTCGCGGTATGTCCGCTTCGACAGGACCGGAGTGCTGAAGGGCTTCATGATCTTCTTGATGGCCACCGCCTGGCTAGTAAGCTGGTCCTTGGCTGAGCTGCGCCGGAGTCAACAATCAATTCGAGTCTGGTGGTGTGGAGGTCGTACCAGACGAGACCAAAGGCGCCCATGCCCACGGGCTGCAGGTCGGTGTACCTGGTCGGTGTCAGTTGTGCCAGAAAACGCAATGTGGGGTATATCCGCACCTGCTGGTAATCTCGAAAGTGGTGCCAAAAATCTGGGCGCGTACGAATTCCGCCATGGTGAAGGAAGGTGATTATGATGATGCGACAGGCGCAAGGACGGGTCTGTGTCGAAAATTGGGGTGGTGGTGGTGGAAGAGGGCGAGTAGGAAGCCGTGGGGTAGTCGCGAATGCGTCGGGGCTCTAGTTGCACGTTGACGCTGCTAGATCAGGGCAGGTTCTATTGGGCTCGGTGGCTGGGTCCGGCAACGAAGGGCTTGCGCGACAACGGCTCCGAGGAATCCTTTTCGAAGGCTTCAGAGTTTGCACCAGGAATGTCGCGAGCGTCGACGGCTGGGACACGTTGGGGTTGCTGATTGCCGCTTGGAGACCAATGTTGACAGTAAGCGGGTCGGCGGAGAGGATTGAGGCACCGACGGGATGACCTCAGACTATGTGCAACACAAGGATGAGGCTCGAGGGCGTGGCGAGGATGCAGATCAGTGCGGAAAGGAAGAGGTGAAGGTAAGAAGACAACGAGGGGCAGGCACCAAATGCGATAGAGGGACACATGCACATGGCCCGCGCACAAGTGTCGCTCACACAGGTTTCGGCTTCTTCTGGTGACGTCACGATGGATTTTCGAGTTTTCCATTGCAGCCTGTGCTTCACACCTAGCGCAGGCCTTTACCGGGTTCTACTGGACACGCTGAAGATTGCAATGCGCCATCACCACGACATCTGCTGTCTCGTCCATGTACCCCACTACCGCCTCGAAGCTCTTTCCGTATTCACTCCCCTTCACCCCTCCTTTCACGTGGGAGGTGGCCCGTGCACTACGTTGGCTGCCCTGAACGGTGACATGCAGCTGTCTTACCTGCTCGTTCTGACACGGTACGGGCAGACATCATGTCTGGGCAGCTAGACCTTCCCTGGGTGTAGAACCTGCGCCGGGTCTCCCTGCTGATATCATATCTACCCATTACTGATCAAATCATGAGGAAGGTAGGCCATAATAAGAGACACGGCTTCGTTGAACAGCGCCGGGCTGCGCTATCGCATACGTCAACGCGTTGATACGCGGATGTCTTGATACGTCGATGCCGTGATGCCGCGGTGCCGTGGATGCAGGCCAGAACACAAACGTCTTTGAACTTTTCACTATCCACGGCGGTACCTGGCTCAAGGGCCGATTGCCAGCCCTCGTGGCATCCCTGATATGGCATTGCGTAATGCTTCGTTTGCGGCTCGCGCCGACCGTGTGTGAATGGTATGCTGCGGCTATCACGGAACAGGGTCACTACCACACGAAACGTGCAAGCGATTGCTGACATGTGGCCCTGGTGAATCTGTCTGTTTGACGTTCCCGAACAGACACAATGATAATGCACGACATCAAAACATGTCCCAGGTCCATTGTCCGCAAAGGTGGGAGCTGGTCAGCTTTCAGCTAGCGTCCTTCACAGCTAGCCAGTGACCAGTAACCAGAACCAGTGTGTGGCAGGAGGCTCGCATTCAACTTCAGTCAGGGCCATTTGATAAAAGTACCCGGCTTAAATTAGAAGCCTTTACATTGGGGGGACCAGCCCCACGGACATGTCTAACTTGAAAACGCCGTTGCATGTCATTCAGGTGGAGTTGGCGCTGGCTGGGCGACGAGGTAAACTCTATCGTGGAGGCGTTCCAGATTGAGACCCTCCAAGATTGGGGGCTGAGCTGATCGGGGCCGTGGGTCGATTGGACGGGGGAGACATCGTGAAGCCAACAGAGGTGTAGCACCGCAGAGTGCAGACTGCAGGTACTGTATATAGACGTTTGGAGGCACAGCTGCAGCGCGTAGTGCAGGGGCCGTTGTATCAAGGGGGCCGCCGTGAGGGCAGTGTTGGAAAGCCGCGGGTCGTAAGCCGAGCTCTTGAAGCACACGGCCAATCTGCCAATGATAGAGGCACGTCGGATCTGGCAGCCACGCTCCATGGCACGACGGCGTACCTAGGTAGCACACGGCCTCGAGCGTTGTTAGGGCACCAACACCTCCATTGCCTTGCATCGCAGCGCAGCGCATCCCCACTGCCAGCATCCGCCAGCACTATTGCATTCTGCCTCGCTTCAGCGCGTCCTGTTCCGCTGCTTGGCTCGTGCCATTTACCCTGATCGCTGCCCTAGCATCCACGATTGGATGAGGCTTAGCAGCATCGCGCCTGCTGCCATCATCGCCTTCACATCCATCACCCATCCGTGATTCACGCTCTGCGCTGCGAGAACAAGGGCCAACGCATCTGCATCACGCCTCTTGCCACGCGCACCTCCCGCAATCAATACCCCCAGGCCCTCCGTCGGCGCCGGGCGACGTTGTTGTTGGTTGCACCTTCTCCAGATCCCGCGCCTTCCTCATCAACTTACTGGGGAAGGCACCTCCGCACGAGCCACTGGCAGCCCTGGAGTCTCCGATCTAGCTCACCAAGACGACCCTACCAACCATACAACACCACCACCACCGTCGCATTCCAAACCCCAGCCCGTCCTCGCGCGCCAGCCCGACCCCGCTCCCATTGTTGCCGCCGTCCACGCTGGCGACGACGCTGCCGCGCCCGCTCACCTCGCGAGGCCCCCTTTGACGGAGCTGCGTGTCGGATTAAGCCGACCAAGCGTCACCACAGCTCCAGCAACGCGCCAGCCGTCACGCCGCCATCCGGACCAGAGCCTCGCTCGCATCACCGCACACATTCCACGCCGACGGTTCTGCGACGCGCTGAGCCTCGTGCTCCATCATTATCCCGCGCCCGACTCCCCCCCAACGCCCGCGGCCGCGAGCCGCACCACACGCCGGCATTATGGGCATCTGCATGAGCACCAACAACGACGATGTCGAGCAGAAGAAACGCAGCCAGGCCATTGACCGCAAGCTCGAGGAAGACTCGCGACGGTTACGGCGGGAATGCAAGATCCTGCT